TTAAAAGCTTCTCATTTAATTCTGTTTCATGCATTTGACTGATAGTATTCCATTAATAAATAATTACTATTCTGAGAAAATTATATTATTTTGATTAGAGTATCACAAAAACATGAAAATAAAATGAATTCACATCAGGTTCATGAAGTAAAACCCTTAATTCTTAATCAAGCTGTACATTAAAACTGCAAAACTATCAAGATAATTAAACCTTTAACCTTAAAGGTATAGTGGAGGGTTTTCGTGAATTTTTTAAAAGATCCTCCCTCTCCACTAGGGATCTCCTTTTAAATGTGTGTAAGAACATGCAGGGGCCCATTTCTCCTTATGCATGCTCTGTTTAAAAGACGCGGTTTGCATCACTCATACAAGCTTACTTTCCAAAGGAAGATTTGCAATTTTTCCACCATGTCAGACTCACCACTGGTAATTGAAAATGGGGACGAGCATGTAGGACGGCCTTACGTAAACGTATCACCAGAATGATTGACAATTAGGAAGACCACTTATTTTGATGATCAACCCGGAAAAAGAACATCCTCCTCTATACCTTTAATTGTCAAAATAAACCACAAATCCTGAATAGTAACAATGCATTTTCACAAACAATAAACAAATCTAAATGAGCATGTTTTTACCATCTGCCCCAGATACACAGGAAAAATGTAAATACATAGGATAAGCAAATAAAGCCCCAAAATATGTCTTTCTTGTGTTCAGTTATTGTACCTTTGTATTTTGGTTCCTCCCTTTTCTTTAGTAGAGTCATTCTGTTGTAGCTGATAAACTACCATTCAATCTGTTGATTTTGTTAACCTCCATATTATTAACATTCCCTCTTTCTATATTAATTCCTGGATTTTCAGTGTCTTTCACCCTAATATTCTGTTTCGTTTGTCCATTCAGCATGCTTCTCTTTTTCAGTCATTAAATTCTCCCAGCACCATCTGCCTGCTAATATCATGTCTGCATTTGGATCCATTTTAATTACAGCATACTTATTCAATACACTATAACTAAACAATGTTCATCAGGATTATATTTGGATCCGTTATTCTTGCAGTTTGTATTTGCTTTTGTTATTAGGTTGTTTTAGTCTGCCATCTTGTTTGTTGATGTTGGTCTTAAAACAGCCTCCCTTTTTTTTTTTTTTGGATACCCTTGGAATTTTGGAAACTGCTGCAGTTAGCACTTTGTTTCAAGTCTAACAATGTAAAAATCAACAAAGCAAACACAAAAACAGTGTCATAGCAGTAGACTGTACATTCCTCTTTATGTCTTTTCTACTTTTCTGTTATTGTTTCTCTATCTGTATTAGGGCAATGGTGTAAATTGTTTGCAAATGATTATATTATGTTATAATGATGTCCATCTCTCTCATTTGGACCATTTAGTACTCATTGATCTTACAATTACAGTGTTAACTGAGCTGTCAGCTTTGGCATCTGGCATCACTGAATTAGGCAGGTGGGAAATAAACCAGTAGGCAGTCCCACTTATCATGCATGACCACACAACATTTATTGTCTTTCTCAGAGGGCTGGCCATCTTAATTAAATGGACAAAAAAGGACTCTTTCAAAAAGCAATTTATATTTCTAAAGGCTTGTTGTTTGTTATTTTGTACACCAAACTACACTAATTTTTCTAGCAAGTTCTAGCAAAAGGGAACTTAAAAATCCCTATTAAGCTCCATTTGAGGAGTGAATCCACTTGAGAATATCAGAGAAAAGAAAGAAAGCAACTGGAGATAAAACAGAGTTTTGTTCCTCCCAAGTAAATGTATTTTCTTTCATTTTGTCATAATTACAGTGCAATAGATAAGGACAGAGCAGTTCCCCGTTTCATCATCTTACAACCAAAGAAAGAAATAATTAACATCCCTATTTTTTAGCTATGCCTAATTGCCACAACAACTGAAATCCATCATTCTAGGTTCTATCTGTAAAGAGTTGTCACACTAAAAAAAGCCATTAAAATGAGCAAAATCTTTTCAATAAATAAAAAGGTGTCCGTATTTGCTGATTCTTGATCAATAGCAAATTTCAAACATTTTAGCAATACAAGATATTTTGAAACCAATAAAAAAGTATCCCAACTTTCCCCTATACCATCATGTATTTTTCTCATTCAGCCTTGTGTCGCCATCAAAATCTGTCCTGCTGACACTGATCAATGGCAATGGATATGCAGAGGATAGAGACAACAGGGGCACTGACAGCAAGAATGGATTTTACAGGCAGCTGGTCAGTACATTCACACTGGGATTAAACATTGTGTGAACCCGTCACAGCAAATGACTTACTTCATCCATTTCTTATCATCCTTTCTCTCATCCCTTCCATGTGATGAACAGTAATGTGGTGAGATTGAGTGCATTGCACTAGCGTCATAAATGGAGGCAATAATAACAACCACAGATAATCATTTGTATAGCTAGGAGTGCGGTGTTGAAATTAAAATAAAAAAATCTCTGCCGTCCTGCCACAGTAAACAACGATCCAGTGTCATTACTTACACCCACGTGTAATGAGAACATAAGCAATCTGTGTGTGACAGAGATTAGTCTTGTTGAAACTCATACACAAGGCTACATTAATCAACCAAAGCTTTTTAAATTCCAACTAAGAAACCGTCTAGCCACCGAGTCATGAATTCAAATTTTGTCTGTGGGGAATAAATGTAACACCAGGTGTTATCAGGAGAAATCAGGTGCAGATCACCGGACTCAAGGCCAGAGCACTAAGGAAAATTCCAGATTGCTGAAAGTTAATAAAAACCTTCAGCCGTACACATATTAAGTGTTTGTGGCTTGGACTTTTTTTTTTTTAGTGTAAAAGAAGTGATTACCTTGACTAGTTTGATATTATTTGTTTAAACCATCAAAAACCATCTTGAATTTACTAGTTCAAAAGAGAGCAAATGTAGAAACACAATTAACTTACTGTAACAGTGAATCTTACCAACATCAGGGAAATAATTAAGCCTCTCCCTTTCTTTCCAAATAGGAACATTTTACCTGCTACACAGGAAATTAATTTAATGAATAATGTGCGTATTACTATGCACTGAACCGTGTATAAACAGTATAAAGAATGTCTAGTCTTTATTCATTGTTTGTGTAATGAATATTGAGGCTGCATTTGTTAACCTGGACAAAGGCTGCATTTTATTGATTGTCAGTGGGGTGCTGCCTATTGCAGTATTTGCAAATCCCTCACATTGCAAATAACACTAAGTTCAGTTGTCCGGGCAGATCAGTTTAGATTGTCCCTGCACATGCCTCTCTGTTACTCAGTACTTTACTTCCTCGCATTACAGAGTCACCCTTATTCCTGGAATTCTTTGACATGATGGAATTGTTTGACGCACCAAAAAGTCTTTGTATTTCTTTTTTTTTTTTTATTAGAAACTCTGACAAAGAAAACAAAGCTAGCGGGAGAAATGCTGCTGCTGATGTCTGCTGAGACATGTGTGCCCATCAGCGTTTTCAATATTGGTTCTGGAGGATCAAATTCAATTATCTGCATATTGTCAGCACCTGACAACAAAGATGGAGCTATGTCTGGGAGCAAAGTAAAAAAAAAATATCTTTCTGTTGAATTACCATTAAATTCACTTGCTAATCGAAACAAGCAAATAAAAAACTGTTCTTATGAGATGAATACAGTGAACCTTTATGCAAAAGTCTAACATGTCTACTTAAGATGCTAGATGCTAAGGACAAATGCATCCAGACTGTTGGCAGGTCTCAAGTTCATCACTGTGTAACACAGAGGCACACTGCACAAAAAACATAGATGCATAAAATCATTTCTAATGATAATTTACACTTAGAGGTTAACCGAACATCTACATATGCATGAGAGGATCATGCAAATAGCACCAAAAAAGGCACCGACTGTTCTACTGTAGCACAACCAAGCACCATATTGCTGTGAGACAACAGTACAGTAGAAATACCCCAATGTGCAGTTTAGCTTATTTTTCTGTTCCATTTCCGTTAACTACACATAACTTAATTTCAGGACATCTATGCTCTAATTTCTTTGTATGTGGGGATTGCATGGATTTTTACCGACATCTGAAAATGTCATGTCAATAGGAGCTCTAGAAATATATTTACCCAGAAAAATTGTGGCATTTTCGATACTTATTTCCCCCGCTGTATACACTGAAAAAAATAATGCATCCTTTTCTTGCATCTACTTTAACACAGTTATTTCATGTTAGCAGGCTAGGATATGAAACTATTGTGTTTAAGTAACTCAGTATGCTTAAGTAGATGCAAAAAACAGATGCATGATTCTTTTCCACATATGAATCAATCCTTTTTAATGTACCTTTGAAACTAATACTAATTTCCAGCATAGTTGAATAACAGGGGTTGGAAACTCTACTTTAAGGAGAGAGTACATGTTTTATATTTCCCCCTGGTTCAACACAGCAGAATCAAATAAATGATTGATCAACACACCTCTACAGAATGCAATATCTCACTGAGGAAGTAATTCAGCAGTCCAAGAACAGGACAGAGGCTCCTGAGAACCGGTGTTGGCCACTTCTGTCATGAAGCCTCTAAAATACACCTGGAGCCTCATACACTGCCTCTATAAAGTGCACAGGACTCTATTGTCCACATAAATCCAGCAACATATTATTTATCAAATTTATTTTAGGTGTACTGCCTACAAAACAGATTGCTAAAAGGATTTTTCTGGTAAGAAAGACTCTTTCTCGGTATCGTTGCGCATGCTGTTTCTAGAAAGTCATATGACCGATACAGGAGTTGTTTCTAACTGACTGACTCACTAAGCTGTGTCTGTCAACATGATGCATCTGCATGTCTCATCTTTTGCGGTTTATCATTAAAATTATCAAGAATTTTGGAGCAGCCTAAAAGGAAAAGGAACTGAAACCTAAAGATAAGAGAAAAGAGAAAAAATAAGTACGTATAATTAAAACTAGACCAAGGAATACAAAATACCAACATTATGAAGAAAAGACATAACCAGGAAGAGAAAAACTAAGAATGCAAAAATGATATGAATCTGGAAAACACAAAAGAAATCAAAGCAAGCTTGAGAACGCCAAAAAATAAAAACTTAAACAGAAACAAAAGGTCCAAAATATTAAGATCATAACAACATGTTATTAGTACTTTGTAAATTTCCTTTTTAAATGTTCTAACTTCCATCAAACATTTTTAGGAATACTTAAACTAGTAAATTGGAATTTGAGCCCCTTCCTCAAACATTTTTTTTTTAGCTCTGTCCACAAATATTTTTTTTAAACTGAAGTTCAGATTTTTACTTGTATTCGGGAAACGATACAAACAAAACTGACAAGGCATTATCATGCTCTTTATACTTGCAAATCTTTTAAACAGTGGAAGATACCCCATTAATTAGTTTGGAAAGTATGAACCAAGCTTTTGAAGATCAACTATTCTCTTCCGAATATTTTGGCTGATTTTATTTGAGTTTCTTATCTTACACGTGAACTAAGTGTGTTTGGATGGTTACCTTCACAGGTATACATCCTATTTAACTCAAAGGTTTTGAATGGCTTTGTGATAAAATAGAAACATTTTATTTTTTAAAACATGGAATAAATCGCGACTGAGGAGATGTCATGGAAAAGAAACAATACAGTTTTTTTTTTTGCTTTAGGACACAGTTTCTTAGTCTCCAAAGTGACTTACTTTTTTCTGATTCAATTTAGATTAAAAACATTCTGTCTAACAAAAAATAAAAGACATGTTCAAAAGAAGCTTTCTATTTTAAAAGGGCTTATAAATCTATAAAGTATGACCTCAAAATGATGCTGTTGTTGTTATTCTGAAGATGGATTCCGACAGCAACATGAAGGAGGAAATGCTCCAAATAAGCACTGTGAGAGACAGCTGTACTCCTTGATGTCTGGGAGGCAAATACCTCAGAGAGGAGCTAAAGTCCTTCTTGGTTTATTAGATTTGAGGGTAGATGTGTGTCTCTGGCTCGGAGTACAGCTGCCATGTGGCATTACAATCCAGTTCAGGAAGACAACGATAGACACTAGTTCTTCTCTATCAAAAGGCAAACTAAATAGAAAACACAACGATAGAGTCATTATCAACTGATGGACATAATATGCTGGAGGAAATAAATAAACAAAAAAAACTGAGACAAGATCATGTTTTTCTTTTTATACATTCTGTCTCTGGTACTAAATAGAAACATGTGGCTCTGTGCCAGCTCTCCGTTTATTTTCTATTCGACTTTCTGGATGTTGTTTTTATTCATTTCATTTTAACGCATTTTCCAAATGTCAACTCCGTTTATTGATTAGAAGCTAAAGGGCCTGAAGAAAAGGTCTTTCCAAACCATCCCCTGATGGCATATGCTGAAAATTACTAACAGGATCCATACTTTGCAACAGCGTGTGGGGCAAGTGTTCAAAGTTAAAAGCTAACACAGTATGATTAATTACTTGCAACATCCCTTCTGGCAGCCTGCGGGACTCTCTCTTAAGACTCAGAAATCAACCACATTCTGAAACCACTCAGCTCAAGTGGGTTATTTGCATATGTTCGAGTTTAGTGGAGAAGTTTTTTTAATTGTTTCATGTTATTTTCACCTTCTGACTCATTTTGAAGAATGAGACATGGTCAATCTTCTGCTCTGCATCCAGATTACGGATGAGCACTCTCAGCTGTCAAGTCTCTGGGTAAGAGACAGATGAGCGCAGCTGACCAAACTTCTGGAGGAAGTCCGGCTGGGCTTGGACTAAAGCTTCTTCGTCTATGTAGACTGGTGGCCTCTTTGCTGTGACAAAGTACTGCACCTTCCTGAGGCTCCAGCCGAGGATGTACATGAGAAAACCGCATACAGCCGCCGTGGACCTGCCGACCCCGGCGTTACAGTGGACGTACACAGTGTGGCCGTTCTCCAGGAGGCCGTGAAGGAGGAATACAGCCTGTGGAAGCATCCTAATCCGACCTTCAAAGAAAGAAAGATACACCATGATTACGCTATTCTCTCAGATCCACATTAACATAATTAGTATTGCTAGTCTTCATTGAGTAAATCACATATTCCACATTAAAGGATGTTGTAAAACAAGAGTATTCATCAGTAGTTGAAATATTTTTTTCCACATGCTGTGAAAGGGAAATATGAAACCTTTTTAAGTCTTTTATCTTTTGTGAAAAAATATAACCATACACAGTAAAACTAAAGATTTACACCCATAAATATTTGTCCAATTGTAATTGGCTGTAATGGATTGTTTGAGATTTTATCATATTTTACCTTACGAGTAATAAATACAACCTCAAATTGTGCTGTGCTGAGTCTTTAACTGCTGACATAAGGGTCCTAGGAAAAAATTTGAAAAATAAATATATGAATTTCTACGTTTTTTGTATTTTAAGATTATTTCTTGCATTCATTAAATTCTGTAATATACTGTAAATGCATTGTCTGATTACTTTTTTGTTTATAAAATGGGGGGGACACAGTGATTTTACATTGCGAGGGATTAGAGCATCACAGATAAAGGATGTGATATCCTCTCTAAGGCAGATTCTGTCCATTGCTGCTTTAGGCCTCAGCTCATGTCTATGAAGAAAACAAGGGAGATTAGAGTAGATTTTAGAACAATCAGGAAGAAGTTGAATGCTATTAATATGAACGCAGAAGTAGAGGAGGTAGTGGAGGAGTATAAACGCCTTGCTCTCCACCTGGAGACTCAACTGTGTAGCTGTCTACAAGAAGGGGCAGAGTAGAGCGTACTTCCTAAGGAAGCTTAGGTCCTTCAGTTTTTGCAGTAAGACGCTGAAAATCCTCTATAAGTCTGTTGTGGAAAGTGAGATCAATTCCACCATCCTCTGCTGGGGTAACAGCATCAGATCAAATGACTTAAATGAGATCAGCAAGCTAATAAAGTCGGCTTTGTTCTAGGAACTCCTCTAGAACCTACAGACATTTTTTTCACAAATAAAATATTCTTTTTAAAATGCAGAACCTTATGGACAACAGTGAGCATCCTTTCAGAAGACTTTTAAACAACAACAGAGGCGTCTTTTGAACTGACGCAGCACAGACTGCCACAGAAGATCCTTCCTACCTACAGCTACCAATACCTATAAAGAACACATTTATTTTTCTGTTGGGATCAAAAGTGTATTATTGAAGTGAGCTGAAATGAAATACAGTTTACACATTTGGCCAAATGGTCAGAGATGAAGTCTTAAGCAGGGTAATAAATATCATCTTTACTTCCCAATTTAATAAAATTGAAGTTTTAAAAACATTCTTGTGCCTTAACACTTTAGATGCCATAACACCAACATTTATGACATCAAAAGCTGATCGTATGCATGAACAGTTATGGGAGGATGGAGGATGAACTGCACTAAAAATGGATGGAGTACAAACTAAGTTGTGAAACACAATTTAGATAAACAGTAAGTATTGGTGTCTTTTTAGACAAAAAGAGTGAACAATTTAAAAAAATGTTTTCCTCTTATTGGATCTTAATGGAAAAAAAAAATCATACTAAATTCTGCACACATTAAGCTCTTATAAAATCTTAAACTCTTATTTTGGTGAAATAAAACAGATGCCTCCAAATGGTGAACCACTGTAGTTCCATATCAAGTAAGAATTGGATACAACTATTCTCATAAAGGACAGTTTAGAATCTTCTTACATGTAGTGGGTTATTTTCAGGATTTTATGTTTATTGTTTATGACTAATGAACTATCACAGCTTGGTTTAATTAAAAATAAAGTAGATTTCAGCTAAATTATATTTTGTTTTTAAATTAATTCCCCTTTTTAATCATGTCTAACTCCATAATTTATACAGTATTTAAATGTAAAAAAAAAAAGACCTATCCTTGCCTTCTGTGCTCATGTCGGGTGTTGGTAGCCACACATACACAATGCCATAGTCCTTGTACAAATGCATTAAGGTCTCAGGTGTCATGGCTTCCATCAGGTTACGTCGGCATCCACCGGAGTTGTTTACTACATCCCACTCCGTCTGGAAGTTCATCACGGCAGTGATGCCCAATTCGTGCTTCATCTTTATGGTCACATGTTCCACCTGTCGAGGGCAGCTTCCTAGCCAGACACGTGGCAGAACTCTAGGATCAGCAGGCAGGGACAGATTTATAATTATTGTCAGTTCTTAAAGAATGCGTTATGTGTAAAATAAATAAATATAGGTTTCTAGGTAAGTTGTAGTCTAGTATGTAATATCCTGTGAGCAAATCTGACTTTTACTTTTAAAGTTTGCCAATTAGGGGAAAGCTAACTTTCCCATTTCAAATCGCTATCAAAAGGCTTCTCCTTTATGTTTCTTCTCTCATTGTTCTCCATTCTCAATCACAGCTCTAATGTTCCTGCTATTTTTTTTCCTGGACCCTATGGCTTGAGGCAGATTCCTTAGAGCATTAGTGCGCATAAAGCCAACAGAAAGAGGAGGTGAGACGTGAAAGACAGGACGGACACTGTTAATATATGAATTCCCACTGCAGTGCTGTAGTTCTTATCAGCTGTTTTTTTTTTTTAACTGCTTTTTTTGTCCCTCTTGAAAACAAAAAAAAAAGAGAGACACAAAAAAGCAGTTTAAAAATATATTTTTTTTACTGACAAATGAAAATAAATAATAGTCCATAAAATTATTAGATTCCTCCATTTTTAATTATGAGCATGACTGGTTAGTTATAAAATGAGAAAGTGTCTTTGAGTGTATTGATGACTTACCATGCAGAGTGTGTGTACGATATAAAGACCTTTATGAATGCACAATTGGAGAAGCTTAATTAGAAAGCTATTAATAGGCAAGTTACAAATTCACCATGCTTCCTCCTGAACACCAGACCTTGACATAAGCCTTGTTAGGTCTTTTAGGGACAAATTAAAACCTGATGGCATGAGAAAGGCCAGCTCATTCTTATGCAAGTAAAGCAATAAAAACTTCAGGGATCTGTGGCCCATTTCTGTTGTGCCTTCTGCAGCGTGGTGCTGACTTTATCCCTCACAAAAAACTTTATATGCGTGGGCTTTGATTCACAAAAGTCTAAGATGTAGATCTTACTCAAATATAATAATAAAACATACTGAGAAGTTCTTTCTATAGCTTCTGACAGAGCTAACGCCAGCTCAACTTGTTCAGAACATGACATTTACTGTCTCTTGCTCCTGCTGATGCCTTAGCAGTTAACCGAAGTTCATGACGTCTTAAAGTTGTATGTTTGGCAGGAGATCAAAGCAGAGAACAGCAGAAAGAGAAGGAAGCAGAACAAGGCAAAGAACTGCTCTTTAAACTTACCACAGATGAAGGACAGTATTAAAGACAGCCACTGTTTGCTAACTAGTGAGTATATATGGATTCAACTGGTGCAAAAATGCTTTTATTATATAGCAAAGTGGATGTTTTCACTAACAAAAATGTTTGTTCTGCAAAAAGAGGTTAAAATAGATGGAGAGTTGCAGTTTGACTGTTAACATCATGCATACCACTGTCAAGTTATTCAAATACATACCTCATCTTTATGGCTTAATATAAAATAAATAATAAATACTTAATTTTCCCCCTTTTCTCCTTCTGTAGAAAGGAAATAATTAATAATATCTGCCTATTTTTTGCTTAAATATTTTTCATATGGGAGATTAGAGAAGTCATTTACACCAGCTGTGTTTAAAGGGCGTTGTAAAAGCATTCAAAGTCCTTGAGCCTTTTTACGTTTTGTCCTATTAAAATCCCTGATATCATGTTTTTTATTATTGAAACTTAAGGCACCAATTCAATTCACTTAAGTTTATTTATATAGCGCCAATTCACAAAACATGTCATCTCAAGGCTTTAAGGAAACAGTTCAACCCGATCATATAGTCAGATTGGTTAATAGTTTTCTAAGGAAAACCATCAACTCATGCATCGACTCATTGACTCTTTAGCAATCCCTCATACCGATCATGCATGTAACGACACGGGAGAGGAAAAACTCCCTTTTAACAAAGCAGAACTAGGCTGAGTGGGAGTGACCAACTGCCGAGGCCGACTGGGGTTCACGGAGACAGAAGCAGACATACCGAGAGAAGCAGAGATACAAAAGATAACTGTTAACTAAATAAAAACTAAACTGTAAAACTGAGGAGGTGGGGTGGGGGTGGGGAGGGGGGGTAATGTAGCGAGCACTCATATTTCCCCTACCTAGAGACGTTAAACGTGACCAATACTTCAGCAAAATAGCTCATATCCGATAAAATCATCCATTAACATGATTTTCTTTTTTGTCTTCCCAGAATTTATCCATTTCTAGCAAGATCAAAGATTTTAGCCCTAAATCCATTTGGGGTCTAGCAAAATTTTTAAACAACAAAAATGGTCTAATTCTTCAAAATCACTCCTAAAAAACGTTCGGATAAACAGAACAAGGTATTTGTATTGTATCCAAGGCAGAGGTCTAAAGAATCCTTAAGCAGAGCCTAACTGTAGTGTACAGTATATTAAAGCTGAGCGTATCTTTTCTGTAGCTATCATCAAGATTAAAGAGTTGTGTCAAGAAACATGATTAAGAATATAATGAAGGCAGAAATCCAACCTGCTGACAAAATACAGAATATATTTATTCAAAACCCATTTTTAAGGAAAGACTGCTTATCTGCAGAAATGTGGCTAAGTGAAGAGATCAGCCTGATGTCTGATTCAAGAAATAGTCACTATTGAGGGTTATCTAGAGACCAAATGTTTAAGGCTCTCACAGCAATAGTATCTAAATATCAGGGTAGCTCTAAGTAAAGCATTTTCTGCCTCTCCTCACATCCTTCTCCGAAGCTTCCTTTTTTTATACTGTAAAAAGAAAATAAAGTTACTCAAGCCCCTGAAGACCTAATTTATTTTTTTCTTCTTGAAAAGAAAAGCTATGTTGTGTTTATTCTGGCCTTTTGAGAGCTGGATCATGCATATAATGCACAAATGACAAACCTTCAAGACAGACCGGTATTTCATAGAATTGTTAATACACCAAAATACAACATCTATTATTTTCTGAAGTTTGCTTGTAGATGTAAAAGTCTTAGACTGTGTACAAAACTTAATAAAAAAGGATCTTATAGCTAAATGTAAAAAATTATTTACCATAGATGACAAATAAAAAGAACTTTTAATAAAAAAAAAAAAAAGTATATCTACATATACTGTTACCTGGAGAAATGTATGGCCTTCTGACCTGCAACTTTAAAGTAGAAATTAGTGGTGTGTCTCATCTCATCGGTGCGTCCTGTTTCCTCTATCCAGTGATCAATTGGATGGCAGTACACTCCATCCACTACATTTCTCTCATCGTACGAGCAAAGCCTGTCATGACTCGGACCGCTACCTGTGGACAAAAAAGAACACATATTGACAGCCTGAGAATGAAAAATATAAATTATCTGTTAGTTTCCCCTAATTACTCAGAAAGTATCAATATACAGCATCCTACATGAGATGAAGTATTAATGGGTCAATATTCAATATTCTGTATTGATATCTGTGCTTATGAATTCAAACAGGTGATACAGTGGTCCTGAATGCTTACTTTTCAATCAAATATGGAATCATGGGACGGTGGTATTAGATTGAATAAATATCATTTAAAAAAAGTAGAATTTTTCAGTATTTGACCCAACAGTCATAAGATTTTTTTTTAAAAAGGCCCTACCCTGATCTCTGGCTCTTATAAGATTTTTATTTTTTCTAAACAGAAAAACATTTTAAAAACCGGATTTTTAAACATTTAAACATTTTTTTTATGCAATGGTTCAAATATAAACATCAGATGAGTTTAATTCTATAATCTAATATGGCTTTAGCTTTAGTTTTGCTGTTCAGTGTTTTGCTGTTCAATGACAGCAGTTAATCGAAGATTTAAATGAATATTAACCATTTTGTTTATTTCAAAGATGTTTAAAAAAAGCCCCTGGAACAAATCAATGAAATTAACCTCTTTATATAACACTATTAATCTTCCTAGTAGATTTCAGAAACGTCATTTTATTCTTAATAAGTTAATTTGCTATTTCATAATGAGAAACTGTTATATAAACGTTCTTCAAATACTTAAGTAATTTGGCGCCATCGTGTGGACGAAAAGGTGTATTGCAGCACGTGCGAATGCAATAACGGAATATTTATTTTGTCTCAATTTTAGGCTAACCTACATTTGTATTCGTTCGTTTCAGTGTCATGTCTGTTTGTATCGATATGACCCATTGCGTACCTTCCCAGATAAAACTATGCTTGATCCTTTTGATGAACTTGAACCAAAAAGTGTCTTTGAACGGCTCGGCCAGCTCCACCTCACAGGTCCACAGACACGGCTGATCTGGTGACGGCAGCTTGTGGGAGGCTTTCATACGAACCGCTCTATTCGGCTCCCAGTGGCCCATTTCCTCTCGCGAACCCAGAACTAAAACCTCAACGTCCGAGGACTCCGGAGTCAGAATGACACCGAATCTAAATAACATTTTCTCAGCCATAACTAAACGTTTCTAAATCAGGTCACCAGTGTTAGAGCGTTTAGTTATGAGGTTGGTCATGTAAATCAATCCAGTTGTAGACTGTGATCTTAAAATAGCAACGCTGTGAAGCTCTGAGAAAAACAGTTGTCTAGTACTAGGGAAAATGTTGTCATTTCTAAAAAAAAAAAAACGTTGTCAGTCCGTAGAAAAATCGTTGTAAATTCTCTGGAATTAGGAAAAAAAAAATATAAGAGCTCGTTTTTTAGATTAGGCTAGTGAAATTGTACCAACTGGTCAAAAACAAAATTACATTGTCGCCTAAAAAACACGTTCAATGTTTATTTGGGGTCTTATAGAGCGAATATATATAACTATAATTTTAGCCACCGTTGCCCACCATTTCTGCCCGAGCTGAACAGTCCATAGATATCCATAATATTATAATATTATTATTATGGATATCTATGGAACAGTCCGCTTAGACCCGCAATGACTTATAGGAAATGGAGTATTATGCAGGATACTCCGGATCTCGCGATGCTGCCTGCTGGCACATTTGCTCCACTGCTTAGAATCCTAGATGATCCTACATTTCCCACAAAACCACTGTTGTTTAGTGTACGTGTGATGATGTT